TTGGCTGCATTGCTTTGGGCCCACTTCCTTATCAATGAGCGCATCATCAGGCGGGGGTAGGCAGGAAGCTCCGAGCACTCGTTTCCATGATGATTTTCCTGGTGAGACTCTCCTCTGAGCCTCATCCAGCACATGACCTTATCATCTTTGCTGAGCCTCCTGGCTTGGAAATGTGCGTGGACACTGACACATGCTTTCCATTACAGCTCCACCTCGGGACCATGAGACAATCACATTGCCTTGCTCTTTGGCCTTTATCCCCAAAGGGCCTTTCTGTCGGGTCCCAGCAAACCACCATGCAAGATACCTTAGGAAAGTCCAATGGAGGGACTCTTGGCAAAGGGGGCAGGGGTAGATGGTGCACCCCAGAGCTTGCAAGAGTGAGAAGCCATCTCTGCCAATTCAGCACGAAGGGGTCGGGGAAGGGGCAGTCACTGGAACTGGGAAGGAAGAGGTGCAGCTCTGCCTCCGCTAGCTCAGCTGTCGCTACCCGACAGGAGCCGAGGGTGGTGGTAGAGAAAGGAACACAAGCAATGGTTGAAAGAGTGTGTGAAGAAATTCCACCACCTTGCTCTTCTCCTGCCAGCGCTCCTACTGGCAACTCTCCCTGCAAGCCACAGGACAGGGTGGCTGCTGAAGCAGCTCACAAAAGGTGGGGCTCAGAGCAGGGTGGAGAGCTGATGTGAAGTCCAGTCTTAGTTCATATTTTGAGACTATAACAGAATGCTTGATGCTAGGTAATTTATAAAGGAAAGAGGTTTATTTGGCTCACGGTCTCTGGTGGCTGAAAAAAATTTTTTTAAGATTTATTTATTTACTTGAAAGGTAGAGTTATAGAGAGGCAGAGGCAGAGGCAGAGGCAGAGGCAGAGGCAGAGGGAGAGGGAGAGGGAGAGGTCTTCCATCTGCTGGTTCACTCCCCAGATGGCCACAACAGCCGGAGTTGAACTGATCCAAAGCCAGGAGCCCAAAGCCTCTTCTGGGTCTCCCAAGTGAGTGCAGGGGCCCAAGGACCTGGGCCATGCTCCAATGCTTTCCAAAGCCACAGCAGAGAGCTGGACTGGAAGTAGAGCAGCCGGGACTTGAACCGGCACCCTCACGGGATGCCAGCACTGCAGGCAGCGGCCCTACCTGCTTCACCACAATGCCAGCCTCGGCTGAAAATTCTAAAAGCCTTACATGACCATCTGCCTATGTCTCAATATGGCCCCAGAAGCAGAAAGAGAACTGGCCAGGTGCAGAAGGGCCAAGAACACACAGTGGCCTCACTTTACAGCAACTCACTCATAAGAACTAAGCCAGCTCCTGGCTTTAGCGACATCTTTTTGGAGACCTCCATGCCATGAGAGCCAAGTGGAGGAAGATGTGAATGTGCAGACTGAAGAGCAAAAGAAAAAAGATGAGACAGAGGTCCAAGTAAACTGCTGGCTGTGTACTTGTGATGGCCTAAGGAGCAGAAGAAAGAAGTGCTGGACACCAGGACGCTGGTACAAGGTGCTGGACTGCTTGCTACTATCTCTAATTTGTCTCAAAAGACCTGAAATGTCCATCACCAGTGGAACGTTGAAACCACCTATGAGACCCACTTTGCTGACACCAAAACAGTCCCTGACGGCCCTCTGTGCTGGGCCTGTGGCATTCTGGACTAGTTCCGTTCTCAACCGTGGCCAAGTGTAACACATGTACAATAAATCATCTCTTCTGCTGTCTTAGCCAAAGAATCAAAAAAAGAAAAAACCTAATCCAGTCACATGAGACCTACCCCACTCCCAAGAGATGCGTACTAATCCCTTCCAAGGTTGGTGCCCTTCTACACCCAGTGACAGTTATAACATGCAAAGGCTGCAACACTACCATAACCAAGACACAGAGAGAAGGTCCAGGTTACTCCTCTGAATAACATAAACCAACAGGAGTGTTTGCCAAGGAGTTGGGATGGGGGTGGGAGTAAAAAAGGATGCCAGAGGAGGAAGGTAATGATGGTTAATAATGGCCTTGGGGCCAGCATCATGGCATAGAGGGTTAAGCCACTGCCTGCAGAGCTGGCATCCCATATGGGCATGAGTTCAAGTCCCAACTGTTTCACTTCCAATCCAGCTCCCTGCTGATGCACCAGGGAAAGCAGAGGAAGAGGCCCCAAGTGGTGGGAGACACAGAAGAAGCTCCTGGCTTCAGCCTGGCCCAGCCCCAGCCATTGCAGTCATCTGGGGAGCAAACCAGAGGATGGAACACATCTCTTTCTCTCTCTCTCTCTCTCTCTTTTTTTTTTAAGATTTATTATTGACTTGAAAGTCATAGTTGCACAGAGAGAGAAGGAGAGGCAGAGAGAGAGAGAGGTCTTCCATCCACTGGTTCACTCCCCAGATGGCCACAACAGCCAGAACTGCACTGATCTGAAGCTAGGAGCCAGGAGCTTCTTTTGGGTCTTCCATACGGGTACAGGGGCCCAAGGACTTGGGCTATCCTCTGCTGCTTTCCCAGGCCATAGCAAGAACTGGATCGAAAGTGGAGCAGCTGGGATTCGAACCAGTGCCCATTTAGGATGCCGGTACTGCATCCTAAATGCATGGATTTACCTGCTATGCCACAGCACCAGCCCCTCCCCCTGTAACTCTTTAAACTCTTTAAAACAAAAATAAATAAATCTTTAAAAACATTAATAACGACTTAGGACCAACCACACCATCCCTATAAAGGTATGTTTTCAGTTAAGTTCTACAATGGGCGGGGGCAAGGGGCGGGAGAACTTTACCCAATCAGTTAAAGACCTTGAAAACAAACACTGAGGTTTCCTGAAATAGAAATCTCTTCAAGCCTGCAACCCAGAAATGCTGTGTGAGTCGCCAGCCTGCTGCCCTGAGGAATTCAGGCTCAAAATTGCAACATCAACCTGAATTTCCAAATTTCCAACCTATCAGCTTACCCTACAGATTTCAGACTTGCTAGTTTCTACAACAGTGTGAACCAACTCCTTAAGATACCTCTCCCCCTCCCCCATGCAACAGAAAAGAAGAGAAGAGAAGAGAAGAGAAGAGAAGAGAAGAGAAGAGAAGAGAAGAGAAGAGAAAAGAAAAGAAAAGAAAAGAAAAGAAAAGAAAAGAAAAGAAAAGAAAAGAAAAGAAAAAGAAAAGAGAGAGAATGAGGGAAGCAAGGAAGGATGGATGGATGGAAGGGAGAGAGAATTGATAGATAAACAACCCAGTTTCAGACCTCTTTGGGTGGGACAGTGCCAAGGTGTATTCCATACTATATCCCAAAAGTCCAGGTGAGATACATCCCCAGTTGCCCACAGAAGTAATCTGCTCAGTAACACACTATGTATTTTCTCTCCTTCTTGTTTTACTTCTTCACTCCTCTGTTAACATTTCCAGGAATCACATCACAATTAAACAACCTTCACCCAGATCCTTGTATTAGGATCTGTTTCTGGGGAAACCCAATCTAAAATACTCCAGAACATCAAGATTTGTTTTAAAATACTGTCATTAGTACAGGTGGTGTTGAGGCAAAGGCAATCAACTAGAGCAATGGGACAAACAGTCTAGAAACATTTGGTTTATGGCAAAGGAGGAACTGCAGAGGATTGGAAAAAGAGAGTCACTGATATCGAGTATTGAATATTGCTGGGCCAAGTCAATATTCATGAGGGAAAGTGAAAAATTTGACCCCTATTTCACAGACACACAAACATCAATTTCAAGTGATCTACACATGAAAGGTGAAACTGCAAAACTTCTAAACTATGTGCTAGGAAAAGATCTTTATCATCTTGGAGCTTAGAAAAAAAATTTTCAAGCACATAACAAGCACTAACCTTAAAGAAAGTTTCTCAACTTTTTTTTTTTTCATAGGCAGAGTGGATAGTGAGAGAGAGAGACAGAGAGAAAGGTCTTCCTTTTGCCGTTGGTTCACCCTCCAATGGCTGCCGCGGCCAGCGCACTGTGGCGGGCGCACCACGCTGATCCGAAGACAGGAGCCAGGTGCTTCTCCTGGTCTCCCATGGGGTGCAGGGCCCAAGCACTTGGGCCAGCCTCCACTGCCTTCCCGGGCCACAGCAGAGAGCTGGCCTGGAAGAGGGGCAACCGGGAAAGAATCCGGCGCCCCGACCAGGACTAGAACCCGGTGTGCCGGTGCCGCTAGGTGGAGGATTAGCCTAGTGAGCCACGGCGCTGGCCCTCAACTTCTATTTATATTTTGAATCAAATAATTTTATTTGTGGGGAGCTGTCCTAGGCACTGTAGGATATTCAGCAGCCCCCTGGCCTCTTTCCCACCAGAGAGTCCGCTGCTCCCCATCCCCAGTTTTGGCAACCAAAAAATGTCTCCAAGCTATTGTCAAATGTCCCCTAGGGTCATGGTTGCCAGATTTAGGTGGAGGAAGAAAAAATAGGATTCCCAGTTAAATCAGAAAATTAGATAAACAACTACAAGAAAAAATACATCAATAGAGGTAGAGACACAGAATAATATGTCCCAAATGTTGGCTGAAAAATCCTTATATTAGCTTTTTTCACTATTTATCTGTATTTATATTTAACTCTGTGTTCTATATTTTATATGATAAAATCACCCCATCATTTAGATCCATTGCCATGGAGAAAAATTGACTTAATAAATTGAAATATCACAAGGACTTCTAATCATCAAAACATGTCTTTGAGAGGATGAAAACATAGCGATAAAAGGAGAAAGGAACAACAAAGGGCTTACATGTATAACCCACAAAATTATACCTATCAATCAATAAGAAAAATCAGACAACTCAATAGCAACACAAATAAGATGTGAACAAAAGTTAATAAAATAAGATAGCGAAATGGCCAATAAACACAGAAAAATTACCCAATGTCATCGGCACTACAAACTGCTCTAAAGTTTGGAATATAGTATCTGTTCACGATTCTGTGATTTAGGGATTCAGAAAGGACACAGAAGGGACACCTGGTCTCTGCTGCAGTCTGGTGCCTTACCTTGGAGGACTCAAAGGCTGGGGGCGACTCACCAAGGGCATCTTCATTCAAACACCTGGCAGTTGTTGCTGACCATTGACGAGGACCTCACCTGGGCGACCAGCAGGAACACCAGTGCATGTCCTCTCCATGACCTTTCTTCGTGGTTGGTTCTGACTTCCTCCTAGCATGGTGGAAGGGTGCTAAGAGTGAGCATCCCAAAATAATAAGGTGAATCTGTGTGACATTTTTATGACCAATCCCAGAGGCCATACCGCTTGAGGCAATCATAAATACCCATTCGGGATCAGGAAAGGGACATACATCCATCACTTGATGGGGAGTAGGAAGGCTCCAGAGTAGCATGTGAAACTGAGACACTGGTGCAGCCATCTTGGGAAAATGCAATCTGTCCAAAAAGCTGTGAATCCCTCCTCACATTCTGCATCCTCTCCTTTCTTCCCGATTTCCAGAGTTCTGCCTCCTCTTACAGTTCTAACGTCCCAGCTATTAATTTCAGGTGATGATGGTGATGGTGATGAGGATGCCTGGCATTTATCAAATTTATGTACTATGAACTGCTCTCAGAAAGTTAAATGTTTTAACCTATTAGTCTTCATAGCAACCCTCTGAGGCACTGTTACTACTGTTATCCTCATTTTACAGATAAGAAAACTAAGGTACAGAGAGGCTAACAAATGTTCCTAAAAATCATACAACTGTTGGGGCCGGCACTGTGGTGCAGTAAGTTAATCCTCCACCTGCAGCACCGACATCCCATGTGGGTGCACTCTTACCACCTTTCTTCCATTTAGTCAGTAAATACCAATTAAGCATCTACAAAATGAAGGCACTCTTCAAAATTCAGGGCTAAAGCAGCAAACAAGGCAAATCAAACCCCTGCCACTGTGGAGAATACATTCTGGTGAGGGGAGACAGGCAGCAAACAAGTACATGTGTATGCTCAAGCTGACTTACCTCAAACGGTAGAGTTAGAAACATACCAGGGGATTCCAATTCAATCCCATCAAGGTGGCATGTACCAATGCCATCTCACTAGTCCCAGTGATCAATTTCTGTTCACAATTGATCATAATGATAGGACTAAGAACCAAAGGGATAACATAAACAAGAATAGTGTCTGCAAATACTAGCTGATAGAATAAAAAAGGGAGAGAATGATCCAACATGGGAAGTGAGATACACAGCAGACTCGTGGAATGGCAGATGTCCTAAAAAACACTCTGGCCTCAGAATCAGCCCTTAAGGCATGCGGATCCAGCTGAAATGCCCATGAGAGTATTTCAGGCATGGAAAGCCAAGACACTCTGGGGAAAAAAAAAAAAAAAAAACCTAAATGAAAGATCTCCGCGAGTGAGATCCCAGTGGAAAGAATGGGTCATCAAAGAAGGAGGTACCTTTCTCTGAAGGGAGGAGAGAACTTCTACTTTGACCATGGCCTTGTCTAAATATGATCAGAGTCAGGGCCGGCGCCGCGGCTCACTAGGCTAATCCTCCGCCTAGCAGCGCCGGCACACAGGGTTCTAGTCCCGGTCGGGGCGCCGGATTCTGTCCCAGTTGCCCCTCTTCCAGGCCAGCTCTCTGCTGTGGCCAGGGAGTGCAGTGGAGGATGACCCAAGTGCTTGGGCCCTGCACCCCATGGGAGACAAGGAAAAGCACCTGGCTCCTGGCTCCTGCCATCGGATCAGCACGGTGCGCCGGCCGCAGCGCGCCGGCCACGGCGGCCATTGGAGGGTGAACCAACGGCAAAAGAAGACCTTTCTCTCTGTCTCTCTCTCTCACTGTCCACTCTGCCTGTCAAAAAAATAAATAAATAAATATGATCAGAGTCAATGAACTCAGGGGGCTTCCATAGCCTTGGCAGCTCATGACAAGAGCCTAGGGTGATTACTGATGCCATAAACAAGAGTGTCAATTTGTTAAGTCAACAACAGGAGTCACTGTGCACTTACTCCTCATGTAGGATCTCTGTCTTTAATGTGCTGTACATTGTGATTTAATGCTATAACTAGTACTCAAACAGTATTTTATACTTTGTGTTTCTGTGTGGGAGCAAACTGTTGAAATCTTTACTTAATGGATGCTAAACTGATCTTCTGTATATAAAGAGAATCGAAAATGAATCTTGATGTGAATGGAAGGGGAGAGGGAGTGGGAAAGGGGAGGGTTGTGGGTGGGAGGGACGTTATGGGGGGGAAGCCATTGTAATCCATAAGCTGTACTTTGGAAATTTATATTCATTAAATAAAAGTTAAAAAATAAAAAAAAAAACAAGTACATGTGTAACACATTAGATAATAATAAGTGGTATGAATCATAAAGCAGGATGTAGGACAAAAGTGATAGGAAGATCTAGAGGTGAAGAAAAAATCGGTTTTAAATATGCTTGTAAAATAACACTGAAGAAGACAGACATTTCATTAGAGACCTGAAGGAAGTGCAATCTGGGAGACACATCATTTGGAGGCATGGCATTTCATTTTTTATTTTTTTAAGATTTGTTTATTTTATTTGAAAGTCAGAGTTACAGAGGGAGAGGCAGAAAGAGAGAGAGAGACAGAGAGAGAAAGATCTTCCATCTGCTGGTTCACTCTCTAGATGGCTACAATGGCCAGGACTGAGCCAGGCTGAACCCAGGAGCCAGGAGCTTCACCCAGGTGGGTGCAGGGTACCAAGTACTTGGGCCATCCTCTGCTGCTCTTCCCAGGCCATTATCAGGGAGCCAGATCAGAAGTGGAGCAGCCTGGACAAGAACTGGCACCCATACGGGATGCTGGTGTCATAGGAGGCAGGTTTACCTTCTGCACCACAACACCAGCCCCAGGAATGGTATTTCAAGTAGGGGAAAAGCATTCAGGTTTTGTGGGGCTCAACTTAGGCCCGTGTGGCTTCAACAGGATGGGCTGCAGGGAGAGTGATAGGCGGTGAGGTTATAGAGGCAGATGAGGACCAGATCACCAAGGGTCTGGAAAGTCATGGTAAGGTCTTTGGCTTTTACTCTGAAACCAGAACCTGTTGGAAGACTTTAAGCAGAAAAGAGACCTGATATAAATTTTATAACACCAATTCTGTTGTCTCTATTCTCTCAAATAGAGAATGAATTGTAACAGAGCAAGAAGTAAAGCAGGAAAACTAGTAGGGAGCCTCCTGGGATAATCCAGGCAAAGGATGACATTAGCTTAAGTTAAGTGGTCACTGTGGTAGAGGTGGTGAGAAGTCTTATTATGGATTTATTGCATTTACTGACTTATATCTTAAAGATATAGCCAACAGCACCTGCAGTGGATCACCTCTGTATCAGGTCTCCCTTGGTCCCTTCCCCAGGGCCTAGCCTTCCTCTACCCACCTTCCACTCATACGGGGCTGAGAAGACCACAGAACAGGGCCACTGCCATCAGCAAGGCCAGGGTGTGTGTGTGTGTGTGTGTGTGTGTGTGTGTGTGTGTGTGTTTGGGGGGAGAGGGGAGTTGGTTCTTCATAAATAATTTCAGAATTCTAGGACCAGGGGAAACCAGACCCAGGAAAAGTTTCCAGATGGTCATTTACAGCCCAGAAACAGAACAACCAGAACAGGGTCAAGAGTGTGCAACCTGCAGTCCTTCCACTGAGTGGGCAGTAAATGAAACTGATGGGCTAGTGAGGCCCCTGGTGGGGCATGAAACGTTGCTGTGTTCAACAGTTAGTTGCCCTCAGGTCCAACCTATACAAAACAATCTCTCTCACTCACACTCACACTCTCTCTCTCTCTCACACACACACACACACACACTCTTCCAGTGCTGACAAAGCACATAGGAGGGCAATTCTTGGGTCATTTCTCATTCGCTGACTCAGAAACTAAAAGCAGAAACATCCCAAGGGCATTTGGTCCCCACAGCAGGTCCCAGCCAAGAGCAGCAGAAAGAGATGCTGCAGGCTCAGAAGATGCCAGCTCCTGAGTTAGGCCCCACAGGGAAGAGGTAAGGGCAGATAGTGGAGGGTGGCATCTGGAAGTCTTCATGGAGGGAGAGAAGTGAGAACAGGTGCAGCCCTGGAGAACAGACAGCATCTCCACAGAGGGCAAGGCGCAGGGGATGCAGCTTTTATTGCCACAGTCCCTGAAGTCAAAACAATCTCTTTTGAACAAAAAAAAAAAAAAGATTTATTTTGGGGCCAGCATTGTGGCATAGTAGGTTAAGCCTCTGCCCACAATACCAGCATCCCATATGGGCACCGGTTCGAGTCCCAGCTGCTCCACTTCCAATCCAGCTCCCTGTTAATGAGCCTGGGAAAGCAGCAGAAGACAGTCCAAGTCCTTGGACGCCTGCACCCACATGGGAGACCTGGATGGAGTTCCTGGCTCCTAGCTCTGGCCTGGCCCAGCCCCAATCATTGTGGCCATTCAGGTAGTGAATGGGAGAGCTCTATCTCTTCCTCTATTAATTCTGCCCTTCAAATAAATAAATAAATCTTTACCCACAAAACCTGGATTTTATAAGGAAGTGCAAAGATGGGCCTAGGAAAAGGCTCAGAAACCTAACTACAGTTTGGCCAAGCAGAGAATCTTTGTCATAGCAACAATTCTAAGGCGCACTTTAGTTTTTGGTCTCTGGAGACTTCCTTTAGTTGTCTGGCTAACTCCACAATGCATTTAAATGGAAATGTGTTCATGTATATCCAGCTTATCCAGGAATTTTGCACTGGGCATTTTAGGATATAATATACTACTGCAGTGTTCCTCCCATGTGTTTTTGTAAGATAACTGAGGTTCAACATGTAGAACAGTTTAGAGAGGAAAAACACAAAAAATTAAGGAGATTCTACTATTACAGGAACTTCAGAACATCTGAATGAGGATGAGGATGCTGAGAAAAAAATAAATAGGTGGATCTGAGAGATATTTAATAAGTAAAATAAACAGGATTTCAGACCCCCCAAAAATGATAAATAGTAGGACGTTTTTACAGGAGTTAGGAGCTCGGAGAATTCTGAGTTGCCGCGTAGATTTGGGAAATCTTCTGTAAAACACTGTTAACTAAATTCAAAACACAGATAACTGGGGCAAAGTGCAGTGTGGGAAGAAAAGAAGCTCTCAGAAATACCAGCATTTTAAAAACCTAGAGGTAAAGGTGTACGGTCAGCAGTTAAGACGCTGCTTGGGGCACCTGCACCCCACAGAAGAGTGTCTGGTTCAAGTCTTCCTGCTAATGCACACCCTGGGAAGCAGCAGGTGATGACTCAAGTACTTGGGTCCCTGCCACCCACAGGGGGAAACCTGACATTGAGTTCCTGCCTCCTGGCTTTGGCCTGGCCCAGTCCAGCCCTGGCTGCTGCAGGCATCCAGGGAGTGAACCATGGAATGGGGCATCTCTTTACATAGATCTCTAACAAAATAAAATAAATAAATAAATAAAAATTTCTTGAAAAGAACTTAGAGGCCCAACAAGCAACAGACTGAGAAAAAGCTAAGAGGAAGACCCGGAAGAGTATGAGACTTTCACTGAAACCAAGAGATGAGCATTTCCAATCCGAGTCAACAGGCAGCAAGTGCCTGGTGATATGAGAAGTCAAGAAAAACGACTTAAAACTAGGCATCAGATATGATGTTTGCTCTTGGCGGGAGGGGGTATCAGAAATTGGGGGTGGGGGCCGGCGCCGCGGCTCACTAAGCTAATCCTCCGCCTAGCGGCGCCGGCACACCAGGTTCTAGTCCCGGTCGGGGCGCCGGATTCTGTCCCGGTTGCCCCTCTTCCAGGCCAGCCCTCTGCTGTGGCCAGGGAGTGCAGTGGAGGATGGCCCAGGTGCTTGGGCCCTGCACCCCATGGGAGACCAGGGAAAGCACCTGGCTCCTGGCTCCTGCCATCGGATCAGCGCGGTGCGCCGGCCGCAGCGCGCCGGCCGCGCCGGCCATTGAGGGTGACAATGGCAAGGGAGACTTTTCTCTCTGTCTCTCTCTCTCACTGTCCACTCTGCCTGTCAAAAATAAAAAAAAAAGAAATTGGGGGTGGGGAGAATGGGGTGGAGGTGGTAAGGGGGTGAACCAGTAAGTAGAAAATAGAAACTTAATTTTTTTAATGACATTTACCTGACGTCAGCACTGTGGCACAGAAAGTTAAGCCTCTGCCTGCAGTGTTGTCGCAGTCCTGGCTGCTCCACTTCCTATCCAGCTCTCCGCTATGGCCTGGGAAAGCAGCAGAAGATGGCCCAAGTCCTTGGGCCCCTGCACCCTCGTAGATAGACCTGGAAGAAGCTTCCGGCTCCTGGCTCCCGGCTCCCGCCCCAGCCTTTGGCCATTTGAGGAGTGAACTCGTGGATGGAAATTTCCTGTCTCTCCCTCTCCCCTTCTCTCTGTACCTTTGCCTTTCAAAAATAAATAAGACATGTAGCTATGAAAGTAAAGAGAAAGAGAACATTAGCTGGAGCTCGGAGGACTGGAGGAGTTATTTCAAGGTTAGAACAACTCTGGCCTCTAAATGCCGACAGGAAGGACCGGAGCTAAAGAGCAGATAAAACAGGCTCCCTAGAAGGAAATTCACAGTATCGGAGAACTGAGTTGCTGGGGTTACTGACCCATTAAACAGAAAGGTCTTCCAGAATCCTGCAGTATAGAAAGCGGCGGGTTTTAAGGCAAGGATTGTGTTGGAGCTTTTTGGTTTGTGGTTTCATGTGTGGTTTTTGTTTTTCTTTCCCCGCCTTGCACCAGAATCTTCCCTCTTCAGCAGCTTTCCCCTATCCCCGTCCACGGTCTAATTATCCCGCCGCGTCCGCCACAGTGCCACCCTCACCTTCCAATGACAGACACAACTTATCTTTAGAAGTTCTTCCGGGTCACCGGGAAGAGCCACGCCCAATCTCGAGAGGTCCGCTTAAATGGACCGCGCTCCCCGAAATACGCATGCGCAAAGCTGTCTTGGCCGCCGTCAGAGAGACAAACCCCGTACGCTTTAAACCTTGCGCAGGCGCACTAGGTCGAGGTCGCTATGCGAGTGCTCGTGGGTGAGGGAGAGCTGAGGGGGGCGGGCAGCAAGTTTAGCCAGAGATCGGGGGCTCGGGGTCGTTGCCGACAGAGCAATGTCTCGCGCTCTGGCAATCCGACCTTTGCCCCCTGGCCCGAGGAGCCGAATCTCCCCTCGGCCCCATGACCTCTGCCAGCCGGGCCCCGCGGGGAGGGCGAGGGGAGGAAGGGAACGGTCCAGTTGGCTGGCGCCCGAGGTCGGGGCCACCAGCGGGGCGGAGAGTACACTGTTCGCATTTTCCGATCAGGTGGCGGGACGGGCTTCATCGGGACAGCCCTATTCCAGCTGCTAAGAGCCCGGGGCCACGAAGTGACGCTGGTCTCCCGACAGCGGGGTCCCGGCCGGATCACCTGGGTATGTCGGTGCCCTGGGAGCCGGGGCGGCGGGCCGAGGTCGGCGGGGCGGGGCCGGGGGCACTGTGTGCTTTCCCCGACAGGATGCGCTCGCCCAGTCGGGGCTGCCCAGCTGCGACGCCGTGGTCAACCTGGCCGGAGCGAACATCCTCAACCCTCTCCGAAGGTCAGCGCAGGCGCTGAAGCAGATGTCCTTCAGAGCAAAGGGGGAGAAGGGGCCGACTCTGAGAAGAACCCGTGAGCTGTGGATGTAGCCAGATCCCTCACCCCCACGCCCCCACGCCCCCCTGCACCTGCTCCCAACGGGCCGGTTGACTTGGGTCCCCACATGTAACCCAGCGTGCCCAGCACAGATAGGCCTACATGTAACCCAGCGTGCCCAGCACAGATAGGCCTTTTCCTCTACGGGACGCAGACCCTTGCTCTTAAGCCACAGCGCAGGCTTTCACTAGTAATGGGTCTGCGGCGGCCCGAGGAAGACGGGTTGGGCTCTGTGCATGTACTGGTATTCAGTAGCTTTTCATCTCCCTTGTTTCTCCTGCAGGTGGAACGAAGCCTTCCAGGAAGAGGTTCTCAGCAGCCGCCTGGAGACCACGAAGATACTGGCTAAAGCCATCAGCGAGGCCCCACAGCGCCCCCAGGCCTGGGTCTTAGTCACAGGTGTAGGTATGCCCCCAAACACCACCCCCTTATGTTGGCAGGAAGGGGCCTGCAGACTGAGAGGCAGCTCCGGCCCTTCGCCAGCTGTCTGCAGGCACAGAAACTTGCTCCACCTTTGATGCGTATCATGTGTACTTGCAATGCGAAATGGAGACCGTCAGAGGAAGGAGTGGTGGCACCGCTCCCAGTGCCAGGGAAAAGCCCCCCGAATCTCACATCCCTTGCTTCTCACACCAGTATTTTTAGAAACAGTTCTTGATTGTTGTGTGTCACATTTGGGACCAAACCATTGCAAACAATTGTAACTTACATACCAGCCACTATTCTTAGTGTGTTATATGTATTGCATCTTTTATTCCTCACAACATCCCTATGAGGTAGTTACTATTATTCCCATTTTTAAAATGCCAAAAAAAAAAAAAATTCCATACAGAGAGATTAAGTATCTTGCTTAAAGTCACAGTTACTAAATGGTGGAGCTGAGACTAAACCGAGGCAGTACCGCATCCCCAAGGTTCTAACTCTTACACCCTAGCAGCTTTCAGCTTAGCTCTGCAACCAAAAGCAAGTAAGAATCCCCCCAGGACAGAAACAGGTCAGGTCATGGGGAAGCGCAGGGGGACATGGCCACGGCTCTGTCCTCCCATGGGGAGATCTAAGGGCCAAAGAGGGCGAGACCAAGGGGAGCCAGGGCACCCAGGACAAACTAGTGCTATTCCACCAACAGCTTACTACCGGCCCAGCCAGACTGCAGAGTATGACGAGGACAGCCCAGGAGGGGATTTTGACTTTTTCTCCAAGCTCGTAGCCAAGTGGGAAGCTGCAGCCAGGCTTCCTGGAAACTCTACACGCCAGGTGGTGGTGCGCTCTGGTGAGAAGCAGGGGTCTGGGTATCAGACGAGGCTGGGATTGCTCCTCTGGGGGAACGGTGGAGCCAGGGGGTTGAAGTTACAGAGAAAACGCCAGCACTTCTGGCCAGCCTGCAGATGGGGGGGGGGGGGGGGAGTCCCAAAGAGCTACACCCTTCAACTGTTAGAGCTGAATCCACCCGGGGAGTGAGGACAGGGAAACAGACTCAGGGGGAAGCAGTAGCGCTCCTTCGAGGCTGAGGGGCCTCCTCACCATCTCTTGCCTGCTCCAGGAGTTGTGCTGGGCCGTGGTGGTGGCGCCATCGGCCACATGCTGCTGCCCTTCCGCCTGGGCCTGGGGGGCCCCATTGGCTCAGGCCATCAGTTCTTCCCCTGGATACACATTGGGGACCTGGCAGGAATTGTGGCCTATGCCCTGGAAGCAGACCACGTGCAGGGAATCCTGAATGGAGTAGCCCCAGCCTCTACCACGACCAATGCGGAGTTTGCCCAGGCCTTGGGCACTGCCCTGGGCCGCCCAGCCTTCATCCCTCTCCCCAGTATTGTGGTGCAAGCTATCTTTGGGCGAGAACGTGCCATTATGCTACTGGAGGGTCAGAAGGTGGTCCCACGGCGGACACTGGCTGCTGGCTACCAGTATTCCTTCCCAGAGCTCGGGGCTGCCTTGAAGGAAGTCGTAGCCTAAGTGGGAGGGCTCATGGCAGGGGCTGGAGGACCTGTCCCTGAACAAAGGTTTCCTGGTTACATAATCCACCTGGGCTCAGTATGCTACAGACCCAGTACTCCTCTACTTGAGATCTGAAACCGTCTGGATTTTAGGGACTCCTGTTCCCCTTCCTTTGCCATTGTTCCATCTTGTGTAACTAAGAGACTGTCCCTTACCCCCTTCAACTCCTAGTAAAATTCCCATGTTTGGTTTGTCCCCATGCCCCACTGCCGGCCCAGTTCTATATGCTAGAATGCTCTGTGGTTTTGGCAATAAAGATAAATGATCTCACCAGCATCGACTCATCTCTGGTCAAGGTCTCTCCTGGAATTTACTTCAAGGAATGTCATCCTAGATGACTCTCCCCTACATGGAATTTTGAAAGTTCCAACAGGTGACACCTCTCACCCTTTCTTTCTTGGTCCCTCTGCTGCCAAAAGAGCTGGTTACAAATTTAGGGCATGAGAGTATGAAAAAGGGAGCAACTCGAAGACAAGAGAAAGGATGACCCATTTCCAGTGAGTTCTATTGTCACCCTGCACACCTGTTCACAGATTCTCATTAGGATGCCAGCAGAGGAAAGGCAAGACCCAGTTGTGTCAGCCTTCAGTCTGTGTCATCAAATGGCAGTGAATTAATAAAGCAGTCACACGTTGGTCCCAGTTTATCAAGCTGCAGCAGAAAAAAAGCAATATCTCTGCATGCAAGAAGCTTAAGGCATGTCGTATCTGGTTGCAGCCACTCAGTCAACCCGGGCCCTTAGCATAAAAGGGAAGATATTTCTGGCCTATTGTATATCCAGTATCATTCAAAGTAAAAAGGGCAAGAAACCAATAATGAACTATAAGCTTAACCTTCTGGGGGGAAAAAAAATCCCAAGTATTCATCTAGGACTCTTTTTATCTACCTATGATTGTGATATCTGCTATAACATAACCAAAAGTACTTGCCCATCCCCGCACCCAGTTCCAGACCATATCAACCAAACTCTTCCTAAGGATCGTGGGTGGTCTGGATAGCTGTTGCCTCCAGCGCACCTGGTCTTGTCTACAGCACACCTGCCCCCACCCCCGGTTAATATGGTCCAGTGTAAATCAACAGGGCAGGGTGAAGACGGTAGGACCCAGGGACCCTCCCCCTCCTCATTCAGCTCCTCCCGCAACATCCAGCTCCCAGTGCCACTCAGAGGAAGGCAGAAGTCAGAACCCGGAAAGGATGTTGTCCAGGGACTCGCTGCAATGCCCAGGTGTAACCCGGGGTCAGGGCACCTGGCCTTCTTTATCTGGCCTTGCACACTAGGAAACTGACCAGCTTGTATCGTTCCTTAGGGGAACAATTGGTCTCAAAAATAGGAGTAATGGAAAAGCATATTTTAGGCTGCATTAAAGGACTACTGGTTAGTACTACCTATACAGGAGACGTGCTACCTTGGGAGGTAGAAAATTCCCCAGCCCGGGATTTCAGGCTGGACTCAGGGCAACCATGGATAGGAATCAGGTGGCAAGAGCCTGTCTTGATTACAAAGGCAGACTTGGTCTGCCGGCTGGTGAGCTACCTTCCAACTCTTAATTCTTTAGTTTCCATATCCCAGGTTGCTGGTCCATCTAGATACAACCTCTGTGAGCCCTCCTATCCCTTACACACAAAGCAGAAGTGTGCCTTGCTTTGTCCGTCTGCTGTAGAGAAAATGTTAGGGCCAGGTGACATTGACATTGTCGTGGCAGAGCCTGGTTTCATCAGTTTGCCAAGTGTTCTCACACTTCAGCAAGTGCATCTAACCAGGGACTCTGACACATCTGTTCATGTGTAAACAAACATTTGAATGCAACAGGAGAGCTGCCATTATAGGAACCCTGAGAGTATTCTGGTAATGCAAACAGTCACCCCTAATTTACCTATTTTGTAAATATGGATTTTGGAGGTTGCCCCAAAGGGACGCAGCCATTGTAGGGCATATTACTGAGGATGCAGTATTAAAATCTAGGGCATAGGCCCTAGCGACAGAGGCCCACGTATCTCTGAAAGTGAGGTTTGGTTAGGGAGCCTGTGCGGCCACAGGCAGACACACCTGAGACTTGGTCCGAGTACTCTCCTCTGAGGAGCTTTCCTCTGTTCCCATGTCTCCTCCCAATGGTCACCTTCCACCTGACTCATAGGCAGAAGTGAAGGCCAAGCAGCTCAGTCACAGTCACAGACATGCACAGCTGAGACCAGAGGCCAGGTCTCCCTCTGCCTTCTTCACCAGCTCCCTGCACCCTAACCCAGGGGACCCCATAGCCCTCCCGAGACCAGCCAACAGCCAGGAGCCCAGCGAGACCTGGAAAGCCTGCCCTCTCTGGCCATGCAGAGCCGCAGCCGGGAGGAAACAAGGTTCTGCTTCCTTGCTACCTCCCGCCCACCACAGTCTCTGCCCTAACAGCCTGGGCTGTGTCTGGAGGACTTACCCTTTCCAGCAGCCCCAGCTCTCTACAGAAACCCTGTGCTAAGGCAAAGCTGAGAAGTTAAGGCTGAGCAGAATTTCTTGAGCGCTGGCTGAGGTGCCGACACAAGGTGAGACCTGGACACTCTATGCACCTGTCCCGGATGTGCCCCAGGCAAGAGCATTCCCTGCACCGAATGCCCAAGCAACCAACTCAGAATGAGTCTTGGTCAGTCTGAGCAGCGGTGGGTCTCTCACGGAAGGAGGTGGAGCTGGGGGTTGGGGGAAGTGAGAGCTGGCGGGGCAGCAGCCACTCGGACAGGGGAGGCTCAGAAGTTGAGACTGAGCAGGGCCTCAGACAGTTGGTTGATGTCCCGGCAGTACGGCTCCCGCTGCAGGATGAAGTCCACCTTGTGGTCCTGACCCAGAAACACCTCCAGCAGCTGGCGTCGGAGCCGCTCCGTCTCCCGGGTCTTCCGAATGCCGCTGCTGCCTTGTTCCTCTTCTTTTCCCTGTTGCTTATTATTGTGTCCTGCGACGCCCTTGGGAGGATGCTGCGCCTTAGAAGACCCCTGTGTCCTGGGAGGAAGCAGAAAAAGAAGAGTTTATGAGCAATCCAGAGGGAACGTCCGCGTTGGCCCATCTGCCCTTCTCACTTGCCCTGCCTATTCCTGGTCTGGGGAGCAAGCCTGAAGTTCCCCAAGAAGACCACTAGGCGGCAGTATCAACCCACTTCTAGAGGGAGACAGAACATTCTTTGGAACCAAGAAGGTGAACTCTGCCTTACTCTCTGGTTCGCCTAAATTGATCACCTTCTCAGTGGTCTAGCAGAGGGCAGGCTGAGTACTTCTGCCTATCCTTACAAGCAACTATCTCCCAAGTAACTCCCACTGGTCAGGGGAAACATGAAGCAGGGGTCTCCCTCCCACCCAGGGTCTCCAGGAAGCCAGCAAAGGCCACTGCCAAGACAAACTACTGCAGAATGAAGCTGGCCCCAACTGAAGTCGTGCCTTCGCCCAACCTCCAGGCCCCCAGAGGGCGGGCCAGGGCTAGAGGCTTCCTGCAGGAAGGCTGGGCATTACCTGGCTGGCTTCTTCAGGAACTCATCCAAGGTGGGCCCGTTTCGCCCCAGCGGGTCATCGGGGACCATGAAGAGGTTCCCCACGAAGGTGAAGGGCAACAGGCTAGGTGGGGGAAAGAGAATGCATTGTCACGGAACGGCTCCAGCCCACTGCCCAGGCAGCTAAGTCCACCACCACCAGAAGCTGCTGGCTACCACTCCTCAAGGCAACTTCCAGAGTTCTCACCCGGTGGCCAGAGCAGAGCTGGCTTTAGAGAAAAGTCTGAGTCCGTGCCCTATCCTCAAAGGAGGGCTCCCTCACCGCTCTCTGATGATTGCCATCCACTTGTCGGACTCCTCCGCCAGGTCCCGGAACTGGTCATTGGACACAATGATGCCGTCGGTCTCCTCAGCCAGCTTCACCATGAACCTGTCTCAAAAGCCACGGCAACCGTTCTGGGACGCCCCAAAGTGCCAACCCAACCAGCCCTTCTGACTCGCAAGACCCACTGTGGGGTGACGGAGACCTGCACCCCTCCTCGCCTTGATCCAGCTACGGGTAACCGGATGCAGATGCCAGGGTTAGAGAGGGAACGAAGAGGGATCTAAGGAGGTCTCCCAGTAGCCCCCATGGGCTCCGGGCAACCCCTTCCCCAGCACTCTGTGCCGCGTTAGTAAGGGACGGTGGACCTGGCTCTGCGTTGCAGCCCACTGCACCCATCGCCCAACTGATCCAGTGTGTTCTCTGGGAAGCCTCCACTCGGCCCCTTTCTTTGGCAGTCCCACCATTACCGCCTTACCGGTTCACATGCTGTGACTGTGATACGTGAAGCCTCCTTCCGTTCACCACCCCCCAGTCTCTCCTGCTTCCCCAAGCAAGCAGGCACTTTCTCTGCCACAACTCTCCCACACTTGCTCTTTATCTACCAAATAAAACCCACATGCCCAAGCCCAGCATCTAAAGCCCCCAAAAAACCCAGATCCAAGCCACCCCTTCTGCCTTCTCTCTCAGTACCACCTAATGCACTCCCAATTCCTGCCCCAGTCAGTGATCAGATGGCACCCTGCTCTCCCAACATGCCCTGTACCAGACTGGCTGCCACTTCTCAAATGATTTCCTCCACGTGGAAGGCGCTTCCCAAACCTTGCTGATGAACAGAATCAGCAGGGAACTTTCCAGAAATAGATGCCTGGGCCCCACTTCAGTAATTCTGATTGCACGGAATCAGGGGGTGGTGAATGGTGGTCTTTTAACTCGTTTAGATACCGAGAGATCAGCCCGTCCCACATCCTTCAGTCAACAGAAAACTCAAAACCTCTCCCGCCCCACAAAACCCCAGCCAGAAGGGGGCTCCCTTTCCTCTGCATTCAGAAGTGTTTGATTTAGTTTCTTTGGCCCTGTGAAGTCAAGAGTCAGATCTTAACACCCAGCACTAAGCAGGCAGCACTATGTGAAAGACAGTGTGGGGGCCAACGCTATGGCGTAGTGGGTAAAGCCACCACCTGTTTTGCCGGCTTCCCATATGGGCGCCAGTTCAAGTCCTGGCTGCTCCTCTTCCAATCCAGCTCTCTCTGCTCTGGCCTGGGAAAGCAGTGGAAGATGGCCCAAGTGCTTGGGCCCCTGCACCTGCGTGGGAGACCCAGAAGAAGCTCCTGGCTCCGGATTGGCACAGCTCCGGAGAGTCATTGCAGCCAATTGGGGTGTGAACCAGCAAATGGAAGACCTCTCTTTCTCTCTCTCCCTCTCTCTCTGCCTCTCCTTCTCTCTCTATGTAACTCTTTCAAATAAATGAATAAATCTTTAAAAAGAAAAAG